ATTTTTATCAGTGAGATCCCTTGCCTGCAAGTTTTCTTTTACGTATACTGCAACACCACCTTCCTTCTTGCCTATCCGGTCTCTACGGAACAACGTGTAACCATCCATATTATATTCATCACCATCATTGTCACTCATCCATGTTTCAGTTATTCCTATAATGTCGTAATTGTCTGAAGAAATTAAAGCCTCTAAGTCTCTCCTTCCTGCACCACTCTGAACTTGCCAGATCGGTTCCACCAGTTCCTATCAGTGCACCAGCCTCTATTTCCCTCATTTTATCTCTGCCTGTTTAAGCTCAAGCTCCCCAGCAGTCCTCATCCAGACCTTGAACTCCTGGCCTGTGTATCCCTACCTGCGCTAGTCCTTACTCTCTCTGTTTGCACCTGGTTCTGTTGTGTTCCAATTGCCCTGTCCCTGTTGTTCCTGTCCCATACCCTGATTTTACCCTTATATAACCCTGTTCTCATCCTTCCTCACCTCTGGATCTCTGCCTCCTTTTCTGCCCCCCCTCTTACAGTCGGTCGTGACACTCTGAGCCTCCTCACAGCAGAAGTTATTAAATGTATTAGAAACACCCACCTCCATTTAAACACATAATAAGTATGAAAATGCAGGGAGACTCACCTAGTTTCAATGTGTTGTTCATCCAGGCAAAGATTTGGGAATAAACAGCAAGGAACAGCATGTTAAACAGTGTGGGATCATCTGAAAGGACAAACAGAGCAAATCAGACACCGTCATTCTCTCATCAGTCTATACAGATATAACATGATATTAAATAACAAAGTGTCCTTAGGCTTTTCTTCCCCTGAGATAAATCCTGCCGTCCCTGCCGTCCCCAGGGTGGACTCCACTGTGAGGTCATGCACAGTAAGGCCCAAAACACAGGCCAAGGAGTCTAATGCCCCCATGAGTCAGAGAGTCCCTTGGAACCCTGTGATGTGAGGAAAATCTGGGGGCCGGCATGTGTTGGCTGAGGGGGGGATCCCAGGCTGTCCCACATGGTGGCCAGGTGCCCCCCCAGCCCATATACCCTACATGTCACCCTACATCAGGTCCACACAATAACATCCTACTGGGTAAAATGTCAGGTGCACAGGGTACCACTGTAATCTGTCAAAGACCAGAATCTGCAAACTCCACACAAAGAACAGAGGTGGGACTCGAACCCCCAGCCCTGGAGTTAAGAAGCAGCAGTGCTGCCCACTGGGCCTGTGTGCCACAGAAAATGAAACAGCTCGAAACCTCATTCTGGTCAGAATTCTTACTATGCCAATGGACATAAATGTTAATGTGAACAAATAAATCCACATAAATATACTTACACAGGAAATGACCTATGATTATAAGAATGTCTCTAAGTTGTACTGTTTCTCCCATTCTTCGTAAGCGTATTATCCGAAACACACCAAGACCAACTGAAATAAGGGAAGAAAAGTTTCAGTCACCAGACACAGACACAAACACATGCGTTTAGTGGTCCTGTGTTTAAAACCCTGCACAGCACTGTCACCTGGGGGTTCTGAGTTTGAATTCCATATTGGAGGCTGCACTAATAGTGCACAGCATATTTAAATGGGTTATGAAAGGGTGTTTCAATTGGGTATTGTATTGTGGAAGTAGAATTGGACATTAGTAGGCCCGGGAGGGGAGGCATGTTGGGTCTGTTATGTCTTAGGCCTTAGGCAAGAAGAGATTGTTTTGAATACTGTGTGACCTCGCTTTGTGATAGCTGCCTGCAGTTAGTTCCTGAAGACCCTGAAGAGAGATCGGACCTTGGGGTGGCAGACAGCGGAGCAAAGGGGGGAAGAAACCACCTGCAGGAAGAGATTCGAAGCCGCCCCAACTGGTGCACAGAGAATTATAGCTTTATAAAATAGTCGCAGTAGACAATATATAATATGCTATGCAATTGCCAATGTATAAGTAATCATGTTAATCATACTAATGTTAATCACGCTAATCATATGTTAACCATGTATTTGCAGTGATTCAGTGACAATACGTCAATGTGTTAATCATTAATCAATGGAACACCCAAACATTAACAGTCATTCAATGTCAGGGCATGCAGCAGTATCTTAGACTACGTGAGGCACATTCAAAGCCATACTTGTATACCTAATGTGTCTTTCAAATGTGGTTTTGCTGGATGCAGTAGAGTATTTTGTAAATTTTCAGCCTGTAAATGTCACATTCATCGCCATAAACAAAAACACAGGATTGATATGGGAATGACTTCAAAACAAGTCATTGCCTTTGTAATGCCAAAACATTTGTTAAAGCCGAAAGTCTATACTTCTGTCACAAGTAATTATGGTGGTGTACAGACAGAAAATACTTGAACAATACTGTGTATGAACAGTATACAAAAAAGTGTTTCAACTAAACTATTATCTCTTTCTGCAACAGGCGGCACTGAGCAAGTCATTACAGAATGGATGGTCAGCACTGAAGGCCAGATCATCTTCGAGGGGGTCCAGCCAACTTTTATTACAGGGCTTGCTGCAGTGTTTGCCACGTTTTATGTTTTTAATCTTCAGTACCAAGATGAGGTGGCTAAGACACTGGAGTTCATTCAGAGGTAATGTCTCTGGAATATATATTTCTGTGATTCCAAACTAACCTGTACTTAATTTTAAAAGAAGTTGTCAATAGGTAACAAGTCTGTTTATGATTTGTTGCTTCAGTTATATAGTTCAACCTAAAAAAACAAATTCTGAGGGCATCGTAATGTTTTTTCTCTCAATGTGTGTAATTAGCATAAAACCCAAAGTAAGTAATAACATTTATAAAACTAATACTTCCAATTTTTGTGGGTTTTTGTGTGTTTTGTGCAGTGTCTTGTACTTTTTTTACACTAAATGCTAATGACAATGAAAAATGACATGACATGAGAAATGCAGAAATTCAAAACAGAAATCAGGCTTTTTGTTTAGCATCCTTTGCAAGAAAAAATACTGGAGAAAAAAGTATTTTTTATTTCTGACACCCAAAAGAATGAAATAATATTGATATGTTTCATACCAAGAACTTAATTTCATGGCTGCTGGCCTAAAGCGATCAGTTAAGGGAAATAGCCAGACCCAGCTACCCTTGTCATGGTGTACCCAAACAGGAATAGCGTTCAGTCTTCAACTCATTTCTGTAATTTAGTTTTAGCCATTAAGGTTTTGACATCTAAAGGTCAGTTTTAAAAGGTAAGATGTACTAAATGTAATCTGCATTTAAAGAAATTGTTTTTGTGAAATAAAATGACAAAGTGTTACTATGTTTACAATTAGTTCTAATTTCATGTTAAATTAACTGAGTGCTTGATTTCTTTTTTTTTTGGGGGGGGGGGTTGTTTTAAACACTTTATCAGCGGTGGAAAGATTGTGTCTAAAAAGACGGGCAAAATGGTCCAAAAGAAGGCAAAGGCAATAAACC